GGGTATCAGCCAGCACGTCAACGACTTAAATCAAGAAATAGTTTTCTTAGATCTACAGAGACACTCGCTGGAACACCTCAGCAAGCGAGAGTTCAAAAGTGGCAGGCTCAAACCCAGCACCTCAATCCGTGGGTGATACCAGATGAGAGACTCCCCCCTGGGCACACAGAAGACTGGGCGACTTGGAAGGCGCTGAACAGACTGCGCTCTGGCACCACGAGATGCAGAGCCAATCTTAAGAAATGGGGCTACAAAGTGGAATCCACGACATGCGAGTGTGGAGAAGAGCAAACCACTGACCATCTGCTGCAATGCACCCTGAGCCCTGCCACATGCACAATGGAGGACTCTTCTTGCGGCAACACCAGAGGCACTCCAAGTGGCCAGATACTGGTCAAAGGACATTTAACAGCTACCAAGTTTGCAAAATTTGTGTTTTTTGTTTTTGTTTTTTATCTGTCTGTTTGTTTTGTTCTGTTAGAAATGTAATACAATGTTCTGGTTGCGGATGACACGATAAATAAATAACTGTAACACACACCTTTTTAGGCCAAATTACAAAGAGCACACTTTTTGCCACTGAACATTACATCTGGCAACAAATTCCCCCCCCCCTTTTTTTTTTTTTTTTGGTTTCAGGGTTTTGAAAATTGAAGTGTGCATTAGATTCAATGGCACATTAGACTCAAGTAAATATGGTCTTTTGCTCCAGCCCCATGGCACAACTTCTTTCCCCAAACAAGTCAGAGTAATAGTCATTGTTCAGCTTCTCACAGCATTGAATGCTTGCCAATGTCTCTTCTAAACCACAGAATCCCCACTAAGAGATAGAGCAGGATATAAATAAAGTATTGTTATTATTATTGTTATTATTGTGAAGACATCCAAGCGTTTCAGTTCCAAACTGTCCCTAATGGTCAGTATAGATGAACCCTTAATCATAATGCATAAGTGGAAAGTGCAGCTGCTAAATGAAACAGTAACTACAATCTAGCTGGAATGCATAAGGTGTCCTTTAATAATTTTTTTTTGTGACATTGCCATTAGTTATATCCCCATCTTATTTGTATTCAAATCAAAAAAATTTTTAAAGCAAACTGAGAAATGAGTTATTAAAGCTTTAATATATGTATAGGCAATAGCCATTGCTCTTACCTTCGTAATGATAAATCCATGTTAATGCTGAAATAAGATTTTTGCCAGTTCTTCTGTACTATCCATCCTTCTTTTCTGTTCTCTCAGACAGCTCCTCCCTAGATGTTTCTGAGCTTTCACTGTTTCTCAAAGAAAGAAGCTCTCTGGTGTCCTATTTTATTACTGTGTTGTTTTTGCTAAATGCCTCTGTTGTGAAACATAGGGGCCATTAAGAAATTGTTAACCGTTTGATGCCAAAAAGGATGGATTGGATTTATGAAAACATGTCACAATTGCCCCCCAAATTCCCATCTAATCTGAACTATGTGAAAAGGAAGAAGAGCAAGAAGTCAGCTCACTATTTTGGACGGAAATGAGCAATAATGATCTTAACGTGCAAAAAGGAAGATGGAAAATAATAATAACAGAGCATTATTTTACTGACACAAAACCACAGTATGTCACAGAAAATGAGATCTCTATGCTGGATTTCATATCACAAAATCACAAGTCAAACACTTCCCAAGCATCTAGGACTGTGTGATGTATTTTCGAATGATGCGCGCAGATCCAAGTAAGGTGGCCTTTTGTAGTTGACAGATCGTGATTGTGTCAATGTTCATTGTTTCCAAATGCTTGCTGAGATCTTTTGGCATGGCTCCCAGTGTGCGGATGACCACTGGGACCACCGGTATTGGTTTATGCCAGAGCCTTTGCAGTTCAATAACAGCTGATTTTTTTCCTTTTGCTTTTCTTCAATACGACTGTCACTTGGTATGGCGACATTAATAATCCAAACTTTTTTCTTTTCCACAATCGTGATGTCTGGTGTATTGTGTTCCAAAACTTTGTCAGTCTGGATTTGAAAGTCCCACAATATTTTTGCATGTTCATTTTCCACAACCTTTGCAAGTTTATGATTCCACCAATTTTTTTACCTCTGGTAGGTGGTATTTGTGACATACGTTCCAGTGAATCATTTGGGCCACAGAGTTGTGCCCATTTGTAGTCTGTTTGTGTGATTTTCTTGCGACAGCTGAGGATATGATCAATGGTTTCATCAGCTTCCTTGCAGTCTTCATACATCTTATTCAGGGTTTTGAAAATTGAGGTGTGCATTAGATTCAATGGCACATTAGACTCAAGTAAGTATGGGGAGACTTGTCAGAAAGATCCTATCACTCAGACAGAACTGGCTAGTGATAGCAAACTACAAATTCCAAACAGTCCTGTTGCTAAACAATTTAAATCTAAGAAATCTACCAAATTAGATGTGGACACATCTGAGGATGAGGTAAAGACAGAACCAACAGAACAGGATGATGGTGAACTGCCCAGTACCAGTCAGGAGGCAGGTCTTTCTGCATGATCCACAAGGATCATGCAGAAACCAGATAGATTTAGGGTTTGTTCAGTGAACAATGAACTTCAATCTTTTGAGGATATTCAAAATTTACCCTCAGAAGGAAAAAGAGATGTGGTTACGGGTGACTGAAAATGGACTTGCTTGGCATGATTGCTTAAGTGGGTTTTAGTTGAATAAATGGGTTTTGTTAGGAGCAGAACAAACCCATTTACAAGGAGTCGGAAGGAAGATTATCAGACACTTACTGTATTGTTGATGACTTCTGTTTTTCGGCAGAGATGCTTTTGGAAATTAAACAACTCGAGGAAGAATTGGACAAACATTTTCAGTTAAGAAACTTAGGACCACTACAGTATTTTGGGGTGTAAATATTGCAAGGAATGAGATGGGAAGCTTCATTTTGAGCCAAAAAGGGAAGACAATGCAAGTGCTGGAAAACATGAATATGCAGGATTGCATGGGAGTTCAGTCACCAATGATTTTAGGTTTCACAGGTGAAGTGAAGAACTCTGAGCCATTTAAGGAGTATTATCGGACAGTTGTTGTGTATAAGTGATTACACCAGGGTAGACATTTTGTTTGCAGTTAATTTCCTGAGCAAGTATGTACGCAACCCATCCACTGCTGTGTGGAATGGTCTCAAAAGAGTTGTGTGATATTTGAAACAAACTCGGGATTTCTGTTTAGTTTTGAATCCAGGTGACAGTCTAAGTTTGCAAGTTTATACAGAGAATGATTTTGCAAGTAGCAGTGACAGAAAATCCACTACTGGAATTTTTGTCAAATTTGCAGACATGGTAATTGACTAGAAGTCAAAGAAACAAGGGTATGAGGCAAGTGAGGCAGAGTTCGGAGCTCTGAGCATGGCATACATGGAGATCTGTGTAGTAAAGCAGTTACTAAGGGACTTGCAGATTCCGGTTGAGGACATTACAACAATTTTCAAGGACAGCCAGACATGCATACACATAGGTACCCAAGCCAGGGTAAAGCAAAGGAGCAAGCATGTAGATGTAAAATATAATTGTGTTAGAGATGCAGCAAAGAATGGTAAGATGTATTTGGTTTACTGCAATAGTAACTTGAACCTGGCTGATGGATTAACAAAAACATTGAGTGTTCAGAAACATTTAACAATATTGAATGATTTGTGTATTTTTGAATGTAGTGTATAAATGCAAAGGCTTATTTTTCTGTTAACACAAGGAGGGATGTTGGAGCACACAAGAAAACAGTTAATGTGTCTGTGTCAACTGTAAAATAAGATGTATGAAGCTAATTGGTCAGGCAATGCCCAGGGAGATAGCTGAGCCTGGGACTTTTGGATACTGTTACATTTTTGTCCAGACTTGAGCTATGCAGGTGCAGAGAGACAGTTTTGAAAAGAGAAGCAGAGACAGAGTTTAGAGTGTACTCTCACTTCATGAGCTGCTGATGGAGTTTATCCACATGGACAGAAGAAAGACTATTTTAAACCTCTTATAAAAGGACGTTGTGTGAGTTGGTGCAACTGATCACATTGTACATATATTGTTCTGGATTTAAGAAGAGTAAACTACTTGTTCTTTATTGTTCATCTGCGTGGTATATTTTCTTTTTCTGGCAAGGCAGTGTGTGGGCTGCTCAATCGTGAATTACATATGGTTTATTTTTACATTACGCCACAAGATCCTGGTATATTGGGCAGTGTAGATCCAGCCTCAGTAGTCTCAGGTAAAAGCAATCAGCTAAAAAGTCTCCAATTTTTTTATTTATTTATTTACGACATTTATACACTGCTTTTCTCCCCTTGAGGGAACTCAAAGCTGTCCTTGCTAATCTTATCTTATCTGATCTTCTTCATTAATAACCTTTTCCATCTTGATCACATTCTGATGTTGCTTAGCTATACAGATCCCGGTTTTCAGCCATTAAATGCTGCAGGTATACTGTAGTTAGGTATGTATGTGTCAAGACAGACTCTTCACTGGATCAATATTCAAAATACCAAAAATGCAGGCAGAGTTCAAAGTAAGCACACAATAACCAGACTGCAGTGTCAGTAAGTTCTGATTGATGATAACAAGGGTCAGTATTTGAGAATAGAATACACAGTTAACATTGCAAGTCTAAACATTTAATGTGTGCATTTAGGACCTTCTTAGAGGAAATGAGAAAAACAATTTCAAGGAGAGCACTTTTTAAAGAATAAAAAAACATGGCCTAAATATCTTAAAGGCACAAGATCCCACCTGATCTTGGAAACTAAGCAGGGTCAGTTCTGGTTAGTACTTGGATAGGAGACTGTCAATGACTACAAGGTGATGTCTCTTACATTTTAGATAAAAGAAGATGCAAAGCCATCTTGAGCATTTTTTGACTAAGAAAAATCTATGAAATGCATGTGTTTGCCATAGTCTACAGGTGACTTGAAGGAACATATACACAAACATACACAGAAAGAGTATTTGGAACTTCATGAGAATAACACTTTAACAGTGAAATAATAGTGAAATTAAAGAAAGATGTTTTATTTTCTTCCATAAACAGCATCAAAAAGTTGTCCTTTCTTGAACTGAACATCCTTGAATCCAGCTGCAACAAGGAGTGCATTGTACTCGGATGCGGTCCGTTCTTTTCCTCCTAAGACAACCATCATTATTATGGAGAAGATGTGGGCTTCTAAAGGCCCACTTCTGTCTTCATTGAGAACCATCGCCGCTATTAATACACCACAACCTGTCAATTGAATTAGGAAAGAGAGGGTGTCATCATTACCTATTACAGTCCATTTTTGAGAATTTCTCTCATGAGAAATATTTGGGAATGTCTGTCAGTGCACAAAAAAAAGAAGATATATATCCACTGAAGAAATAAACTTTGTTGCCTCATATTGACTGCACATTTCAGCAGACATGATCAATCCTTTGGCGGATGAGATGGAAATGACATGGAACTATACTGAGACTGCATTTCTCATGGTATCTGGTAGGAAATGGCTCTCCCTCTGCAGCCCAGGGCAGTGGGTTCCCTCCAATTTGAGGGTCTCTACAAGGAATAGGCAAAAATTGCATGCCCCCTTTTCAACAACAAGATCTTGTACGTAGTGTTCTCACTCTTGTGATGATGGGCACATTATAGCAGGAGTCCCCAAACTAAGGTCCATGGGCTGGATGTCGGGCCCCAAGGTCATCCCCCCAGCCTTGAACATTAGGTATAGAACATGTAGAATTTCCCCCATTTCTACACACTGTAAAATCATACTCCCACAGAGACCATCACATGACATAAGGGCACTTCTGCTGGGACTCCATGGATTCTGTTTCCACATCACATGGATATGGAGCCTATACTGCATCTTCAAACTGAAAAAATGGGAGAAGACAGGAAAAGGAAATGGGATGTTTAGCCATCCCAGAAGACAGACCTCGGTGGTAGGGAACAACGGAAGACGGTTTCCTCTGCTTTCCCACATGTATTGAAACAAAAAAAAAAATACCAGTAACAAAATAGCCCCAGGATATGCAGAGCCCAGCCGTCTATAGGAGCCAAATCATGTGCACTCATGATACCGCTGTTGTACAGAGTCCACAAAGCACACAGCTGCATTTGCAGGAGAAGTGCTTCAATAACACTTTGCTCACCCCGCCCCCTATTCTCATTAAATGATCAAGGATTGGGAAAACAAGCCCTATGAGGAGTGGCTTAAAGAGCTGGGCATGAAGAGAAGGCTGAGAGGAGACCCGATGGCAATGTATAAATATGTGAGGGTAAGTCATAGGGAGGAGGGAGCAAGCTTTTTTTCTTTTGCCCTGGAGACTAGGACATGGAACAATGGCTTCAAACTACAGGAAAGGAGATTCCACCTGAACATTAGGAAGAACTTCCTGACTGTGAGAGCTATTCAGCAGTGGAACTCTCTGCCCCGGAGTGTGGTGGAGGCTCTTTCTCTGGAGACTTTTAAGCAGAGGCTGGATGGCCATCTGACAGGGGGCTTTGAATGTGATTTCCCTGCTTCTTGGCAGGGGATTGAACTAGATGGCCCACAAGGTCTTTTCCAGCTCTGTGATTCTATAATCTCACTCACATTGAATTATGATGACAACTTTCTTACAAATATAACTCATTGACTGCAAAGCAGCCCATAGATTACTGGCCCTGAATAGATAATGGGACTGATAACACACTATTCACTTAATATTTTATGACAGCGGAAGACTGAAGGATGCCTCCAGAGAAGGAGCAGAAGATTTGAGGAAGGCATGGTAGAGGAGCCCAATTGTAGAACACAGGTTTAATCCCCAGACCCTCCTTAAAAGACTGGAAAATAATCTGTCTTGAAATCTAGAATTATTGCTGTTAGTTTCTGTAGATCCCAGACTATATGGATGGAAACTGGGACCCCTGCAGCAACCGAATTAAAGGCATTATGTACTGTGAATCCATGAATTCTCACTTGTTCATCTTAGGCTGTACAGAGCAAACTTGTCTCCATACTATGTATACATACCAGGCTTACAGGCCTTGTGTAGTTTAGTCAGCAGAGCCAAACACTTCTCATCATCCCAACAATGGAGAATTCGAGCCAATATATACAGATCAGCTTCAGGAATCGGATCATTAAAAAGATCCCCTGTAATATTGGACAGAAACACCTGTTTATTTCAGCATTGTGATTAACACAGAGAACAATTATTTCTCTTTTGGGAAAATATTATATTACATTACATTACATTACATTACATTACATTACATTACATTATATTATATTATATTATATTGCCAGTAGCAAAGGAGAAGAGCCGTCATGCAATGCCATGTACAGAAGCATGTTGACAGTGGAATTTTACTTTTCCAATATTGGAAGGACAGTATCTTCCTCAGCAAGGCTATTTTAGAGCAATGCAAAGAAATACATAGAGGCACATATAGATCTATCCTCTGGTAGAAGGCCTTCCTAAAGGATCAGGAGGATTACTCAAGCCCCTTCCACACAGCTGTATTAAAGCCACATTGAACTCGATTATATTAAAGTTCGGACTCAGATAATCAAATTCAAAGCAGATATTGTGGATTATCTGCCTTGATATTCTGGGTTATACACTTGTATGGAAGGGCCCTCAGAGAACTACCAATTTTTTTCAGCAACTGCTGCCAGGAATAATTGTCTCACTCTGGGTGCATCTAAACTCCAAAATTAATGCAGTTTGACACCACTTTCACTGCCATGGCTCAATGCTATAGCATGTAGTCCTAAAATCTGCAGTTTGTGAAGCTCTCACACTTTTTAGCTTGAAGGTTGAAGACCATGTAAAACTACAACTTCATGGCAATTAAAGTAGAGTCAAACTACATTAATTCTATTATGTAGTTGCCCCATCTACCTCATAGAAAGCCTTGGCCTGGTGCCAATTGTAGGAACATACAGGTTTTTTTATTGTGCAGAATATAGTGGATTTAATGCAATACAAGTGTGTGGAAGAGCCATGAACACTCAGAATAAAGTGAACATAATATTTTCCCCAGATTATCTGCTTTGAGCTGGATTATCTGGCAGTGCAGACTCATGTAATCTAGTTCAAATAAAATATCTGATTTGATCATCTGTATTATATGATAGTGTCAAAAGGGCCACTGATTACCTCAGGAAATTCATCTTGTGATAGCAAAACAGATAGATAAAAAGAATTTAGCAATAGCTGCTTGCAATAAAGCTATTTGTCATCTGGGTTGGGCCAACCCAGATGACAAATAGCTTTCTTGCAAGCACCGACCCTTACTGAGGTTGCAGCTCCATGGTTAGATGTTCACAGGCCCCTTCTGAATAAAATCCACATTATCTGCTTTAAACTGGATTATATGGCAGTGTAGATTCATATAATCCAGCTCAAAGAAGGTAATGTGGGTTATCTGCTATGATCATCTGGATTATATGGCCATTGATTACCTCAGGAAACATATCTTGTGATAGGAAAGCAGGCAGATAAAATAATTTAGCAATAGGTACTTGCAAGAAAGGTGTTTGTCATGTTGGATAAATTACCAAACTTTACTGAGGATGAAGATCCATGGTTAGATTCTCTCAGGCCCCTTCTACACAACAGTATAAAATCTACATTATCTGCTTTAAATTGGATTATATGGCAGTGTAGATTAAGATAATCCATTTCAAATCAGATGATGTGGATTTTCTGCTTTGATAACCTGGATTATCTGGCAGTGTAGAAGAGCCTCAGACAAAGGAAACCAATAACTAAATCAACTACTTTAACAGGAAAGAAGTAACCTCAAGGGCTAAGAAAGAGGCAGCTGACCTCAGAATAGAAAGAGAAGGGAAATGCAAGGGCTTATATCTAGGGCTTAATTGTCCCCTCTTCCACTGATCACTCTGTGGGCCCTTCCAGGCAGGCCCTATATCCCAGGATCTGATCCCAGCGTTTCTGTTTATCCCAGATTATCCACCTTAAAGCAGAAAACCTCAGATCAGATCCTGGGATATAGGGCCTGTCTGGAAGAGCTTTGAGTGAGTGTTGATGCTTCTTTCGTTCCAAAAGAAAAAAAAAGGAATGTATACACTGTTGGTTTCTAGTGCTTTTATACATGTCTTGTTTGAAAGTAGGTATAATCACTGAAACCATATCTCACCACTCTGGAAATTTATCTGGTGTTCCTCTGAGGACACAGAACGCTTCTTTGCTTTTTCCACCACTTCAGGTAAGTCAAAAATAGTCACAGTTGAATTTGGGTATAATGAAATGTATTGTTTGGCAAAGGAATCAGTACCTCCTTTAAAAAGAGAGAGAGAGAGAGAGAGAGAGAAAGCTGAATGGAGGCTAAATATTCAGTAAGTTCAATTTCCTTAAAGGCTAGGATCATAGACAACTAGGGGTTAAAGAGCAAATCATTAAAAGACAACTCTTGAACAGGCTCTAGCTACCTTTAGTCATTGTTGGCCAGTTAGTTATAGAGTTATGGATCTCCAACAAAATCTCCCTTATAAATGGAATATTCCCCATAAAAGTAATGATAGAACAAACATATGGTTGCTCATAAAGAAAGAAGGAGAATTACTACAATTTTTACTGTCAAAGAATCACAGGGGCAAAATGCAACCTGAGAGGTCATCCCTCAAATTAATAGGATTTCAAACTGCAAATCAGAAAGGCAACTGGTACTTACCTCCCAAATCACAAACAATGTGGAAACCAGAGAGGTCAAAAGCAGATATCACCTCCTGACCATACAGACTCCAGGTATCCCCCATGGCATTTTGTAATCCTTGCAACTTTTCCTCTGAACTAGGAAATCAAAATTAAAATGGGTATAATTAATTTGGGGGGGGGGGAATTTAAGTAATTTTATTATAATATATACATACTACAAACACATTTGCTAACAATTATAATCAAATGCGACATACAGTAGAGTCTCGCTTATCCAACCTCCATTCATCCAATGTTCTGAATCACTCAACGGAATCCGAGGTGGGAGAAAGAAAAAAATCCTTGTCTGTTTTGGTGCTAAATTCGTAATTACTCTATAACGTTACTATGTATTAAACTGCTTTCTGTCGTTGTAAAATATGATGTTTTGGTGCTTAATTTGTAAAATCATAACATAATCATAATGTAATTTGACATTTAATAGGCTTTTCCTTAATCCCTCCTTGTTAGCCAACATTTTCACTTATCCAATGCTCTGCCGGCCCGTTTATGTTAGATAAGTGAGACTTTACTGTACTTAGTTTTGCAATATTTACAATACTTGCAACATTTACATTTTCTAAATCATTACAGTTACAGAACCAGTTGTGATATTTCTTCACAGTTTTTCTTTCTTCTTTGGTTTCAATTACAAATATAGTTATTGTTACAAACACAATTGCTTACTCCTACTCTTAGCTTTAGAAGAGACAGTCATGCTTTCTGCAGCTCCTTAAAGACTGGTGGCAAAAGCGTGGATAACATAGCACCCACTGAAAATGACGCCTCTCCAATGACTGGAAAAGGCAGGGGAACTTTCCTGGCATCAGGAGAGGCAAGGATAGAACACCCCCCCCCCCAAAAAAAGGATGATTTTGGGGAGTTTGGAGGTTTTCAAACACAGTCCCCTTCAGTCACTATGAACAAAATGGGGTCTGCAGTCACTATGAACAAAATTGAGACTCTTAAAGGAGGAACAGCCTACAAACAGGTCCGTCTAGAAATTTTAGTTAAAAATCAACAGATCAATGTATTTTCTGCACCTTAACTCTTTATTTAAAAAAATAGCCATTCCCATCACTGAGAAGAATAGTGAAAACCCATTCTTGTTTTTCTATCTTGGAACAACCTAAATGAAACACAGTTCTGCCATGGACAGCGACTGTTGGCTCCCTAAAGGATATTGGTGCTTTCCTCTCTCTGCAGAAATACCGAGTATTGGTCCTAGAATCTTCCCTCAACGTATACATGAGGTCAATTTATATATGAACTCATTATGTACACCTCACAAAGAAGGCATATCCTTCACAATAAATTAGGATTTGAGGAGTCTCTGATTTCAGAAAGAAGCATATTTTGTTAAAGAAAACAATAATTCAGAGTGCTGATTTTGACCTACAAAGTTCTATATGGCCCCGGTCAAGGTTATCTGAAGAACCACATTTCTTTCTATGAACTTGGGAGACATGTACAATTTATTGGGGAGGGACTTCTCTCTGTCCCACCACCCATTCAAACATGCTTGGTGGAAACACGGGAGAGGGCCTTTTTGGTGACTGCTTCCAGGCTGTTGAACTCCCTCTCAAAAGAAACTAGAATGTTCCCATCTCTACTGGCCTTCTGCAAGCAGGTCAACAGGCTTTTGGGAAAGGGAAGGCTCTAGGGAGGGTGGGTGTTATTGGGGGGGGGTTGAGTTTTAAAGGCCATTTTAATGTATTTGTTGTATTTTAATTCTGTTTTTACCACACTGTTATTATTTAATTATTTTTAACTTTTGTATTGCTCTTTTTTTAACTGTTTAGTGTGGATAGATGTTAGCTGCCTTGAGTCTCCTTGAGGAGAAAGGTGGAATATAAATAAAAGCAGCAGCAACAACTAACTAACTAATTAATCATTTTGTCTATTTGGAATCCAGTCCTATAACAGGAAGGGAGAGCCACCAAAAACAACAGTAGAGAGACAGGAAAAAAAAGGAAAGAAACTGTAAATGTGGCCAGAAAACATGTAACAATAATACACAATCATGTATTCGGCCCAAATATTTGGCATATTTACACAAGAATTATACCACCATACAAAAGGGATCTTCAAACAGCAAACAGAAAAATGTTAGGTTTACCTGTAAAAGTTCGTATAAAAGTCTTTTTCTGGAATGCCAAATATCAATGGAAACTGGTGTTTTCCTTCCCTGAAATAGAACATTGTTTTCAATTGCAAGAAGATTAACAACAGACTTACTTACTTACTTACATGCTTACTTAGGTGATCCCTTGTTGTCCGAGTAGGATTGTCTTCCAAGATCAGTGTACTGGTGGTGGGTCAGTAGGTGACTGTGGAGCCCTATTTTTGACCTGCAAGTTCTTCTGCAGTGAGGGCATCGGTTTCCAGATGGAAGGTGGTCCCAGTCAGGGTTGGCTTGATGCGCCTTCCTCTTGGCACGTTTCTCTCTTTCGCCTCCATTCGTGTCTCTTCAAATTCTACAGCACTGCTGGTCACAGCTGACCTCCAGCTGGAGAACTCAAGAGCAAGGGCTTTCCAGTTCTCTGTGTGTATGCCAGAGTTTTTAAGGTTGGCTTTGAACAGAACTGCCAAACCAAATGTCATGTTCCCCCATTGTATTGAAAAAACCTCATACATATTCTAGATGGGAGATAGGGAAAGCTTTTTCAGTCCAAGGACAAAATGCTATTCTCTGAGTGGTCATCAAGGACATATTTAGAGTAGGTGAAATTGAGATACAATTTTATTTATTTATTTATTTATTTATTTATTTATTTATTTATCCTATATATACCCCACCCTGAAGGGGATTCAGAGTGTGTCCCTAATTTTCACCTTTGATACCTCGCAACCCTGTGGCAAAGGAGGCAGAGAGGGAGAAAATGTATTGAGTGAGTGCAAAGGAGAAGAGGTAAAGCAGCATGAGATGAGGAAAGGGAGGGTGAAAATGAGAGAAATGCAAATGATCAAATGAAAGAAGGAAAAGAGGGAATTCCTTAAGGTTTTGGGCAAGGAAATGTAGGGGGAGGGGGTCAAGGGAAAGGCACCCCTAGCAAGTACAAAAAATAAGGGGGGGGGAAGCATTGGCAAGGGTAAAAGTGAAGCAGTGGAGAGGTGGATGGAAGGAAGAGGGTATAAATTGTATCATACATGGAGCAAGAGATGGTAAGTCTTCAATTCAGTTCTGAAAAGGAAGAAGGACTAAAGAACATTAATAATAATAATAATAATAATAATAATAATAATAATAATAATGGTGATCCCTGTGGTTATCAGCACACTGGGTGTAGTGCCTAAAGACCTTAGCCTCCACTTAAACACAATCGGCGCTGACAAAATTACCATCTGTCAGCTGTCTCGTTTAGCAGAAGCTCATCAGAACTGTATTTGTTTAAATCTGCCACAATTATGCGAGGGGAAAAAAACCATTTTGGAACTCAAAAGGGGGGCATCAATTATGCTATGCTCATTATTATGCAATGAGATATGATATTTCCGAAGAACATGTGCCTGTACTTTATAGATTATAGCAAAGCCATTGACTGACAGATCATGAAAAAATATCTGATTGCCTTGATGTTCACATGAAGCTGCTGGCAGGTTGCAACATAAAAGCTTCCAATTGGTAAGAGCATTGTGTGCATTTTATCACTGTGTCTATATAATATATATGTGGAACATATCATATGACAGATACATTTGGACTTGAGTGAAAGGAGTGTGAAAACTGGATTCCTTGGACATTTCTCGTTGATACAGTTTCTATAAATAAAAGCCAAATTTATAGCATATGACAAAGTTTCCACCTCTGATAGTTAGTGCTTACTTCTTACCTTATAGCTTTTGTCAGGTACTGTGGACTCGAATAAATAAACTCAGAGAAAAACCTTGTGTATTCATACTGGGACTTTGGGCTTGATTTAGCCAGGAAGAGATTGGCAAGGTCCGTGTTTCCATAAAAACCTTAAAAAGAGATAAAACATTCTATTGTAAAACTCTGAGATACCAGATAGCTGGCAGGTAGGGGAAATCTGCTTTTAGTGGTTGGAGCACTGGAATATGATAGAAACCAGGGTTTCAATACCTCCCTGCTACTTCATCACATTTACTAAATTCCACTGAGTCCTACACTTCACAAGTGGTAACCCACTGTGTTCATCACATTAGGTTGGATTCAATCATAGAGAAGAGCATTCTTTCCATGTCTAACACACTAGGAACATATGTTTCAGGAGCTGGTTTGGAAGTGGATTTTTGGGGAATGATCCAAATGTAGATGGGCAAAATGACCATGCAGAGATACTTTGACCACCCCCAACCAATAATAGACCAGGACCAAACTAGACACAAAGAACCCCCATGAACAACTGAACATACCACATTTTTTGGGAGGAATTGACCTTGATTTTTGGGAGTTATAGTTCATCCGCATACAGAGCACTGAACCCAGTCAATGCTGGATCTGGACTAAACTTGGAGCACAGACGCAACATGGCCAACTGTGAATACTGCGGGGTTTAGGGGTGATTGACACATGATTTTGGGAGTTGTAGTTCACCCCATACTTATTCATTTTCTAATGGGAGAATTCATAAATAACAAAAGAAACAACTGGCTTTTTTCTAATAAATAGTACCAAGCTGATATTACCAAACATCTCCAAACAAAATATGTTCTTTTCAAATAACCTGGGCATTGCCAGGTACCCAAGCTAGTATATAATAACAGTGTCCATTCAAAGAAAGAGTTTCCAACACATTCCAAGGCAGCATATTCGAATATATTCTTTCTGTTTTATGCACTCAATCCTTAATACCCCAAAGTAGTGTGTCCTTAAGTCTAAAGCTTTAAAGAAGTGGGTAAAAGCCTAGCACTCCCTAACCTCATTGCATACAATGTCTACCATAAGATTTCAAAAAGAGGAAGGTTTTTTCAACAAAGAACACTGGGAAGGGACAGTGGTCAGGGCCAAATCTTTACTGTGTAAAGGCAAATCAACTGAAGACTACTGAGTACAACTGAGTAAAATGGATAGATTTAACAGTGTGATGAAGGTAGGAAAATCATCCATTTGATTTCAAAATGGAGTATGATTGAGCTCTATGATAAACCTACTCTACCAAACACTTGTCTTGGGTCAATGGCTTGGCTGTGAAAAGAACACAGTGATTTTGGGACTGTGTCCTTCAGCCTCAGCACAAAGCGAAGCACAACCACTTTTAACAAATCTTGCACAAACATCCTGCAGTAATGTTGCCATAGGTCATGATACGTCAGGAATGATTTGAAGGCACCCAAAACAAAAGATAGCTAGACTTCAAAGTTATTCTGAGTCTCCAATTTTTGGTGGTCATTTGAAGGTGGGAGTCAAGGGTTCAACACTACTATTAAAGACTGTAGTGTTTTCCCGCCAACAGACAACCCAAGTTTCTCCTTTTTCCTGGTGTGGTTACCTTCATTGTCCTTCCTCTCCATCTTTAGTAATTTTAGGCCCACACATGCCTCCAGCAGCATTTGCATTCCCATTTGGCTGGTGCCCAGACGTTCAGCGATCTCAGCTGAGGAGAGGAAGCCTTCTGACTCCAAAAGCAGATCAAATACTCCTAACTCACAGGCAGTCGACATAATCTGCAAACATAAGGAATAAAAGGAAAAGGGAAACATTCAGATACGTTACAGTTGTAATAGTTTTGCTACTGTTGCTGCTGTTGTTGTCCATTTTTAAATTTGTCAGGTATCAGCAAACATCCTCTATTAATACCACAAGTATGATCAAATGCAATACTGAAAATATTGTAAGGTGGACACAAGATGCTTTTATAACATACACTAAAATGATTGTTGTATCAAGCAGGTACTGGAAGGACCAATTCTAAGCTATGCACTTCCTTTCTCCCATTGATTTTTTTCATATTTATTTATTTATTTATTTATTTATTTGCTTTGCTTATATACCGCTGTTCTCAGCCCAGAGGCGACTCACAGCGGTGTACAACAAAGGAACAACAAAATTCAAGACATAGTATAAAAACACTTCTGGCCCCAGAGTGGCCGTTGGTGTTGGGGGAGGGGCGCTGATGTCACAGAGGACAAGATGGCAACGTCCTCCTGGCTCCCCTTCTTTATTCTGGCCCCAGAGTGGTCGTTGGTGTTGRGGGAGGGGCGCTGATRTCACAGAGGACAAGATGGCAACGTCSTCCTGGCTCCCCTTCTTTATTCTGGCCCCAGAGTGGYCGTTGGTGTTGRGGGAGGGGCGCTGATRTCACAGAGGACAAGATRGCAAYGTCVTCCTGGCTCCCCTTCTTTATTCTGGCCCCAGARTGGCCGTTGGTGTTGGGGGAGGGGCGCTGATGTCACAGAGGACAAGATGGCAACGTCCTCCTGGCTCATATGATTTTTATTAAGCAAAAAGAAGAAGAAGAAAGAAAATAATATAATTTACAAAAGATAAAAATCTCTCGTGAGCTCAGCAAGGGAGAGGAAAAAATGGAAAGGCAATATTTTTGACTTTCTATCTCTTCCATGTAGCCTGTTTTTGTTATTTCCACTCTATTTCTTAGTGTATTTTGCTCAATCTTTTTATTGATTCAAAAAGGTTTTTTGTTCTTCTTAATATTATATTATCATTTTATTTTTTTTCTTGCTTTAGATAGTCTTTAAATAAAGTCCAATCAGTTGTTATGTTTGTTGTGACTTGGTTTTTCTTCAAATGCTGTATTAAATCGTCCATGCTCATTATGTCTGCCATTTTCAGTAGCCATTCATTTTTCGTTGGGATTTCTTTGTTCTTCCATTTTCTTGCGTATGTTATTTTCACAGCCGTAGCTAAGTAGTTAAATAAGATTTCTTGATTTTTGTCTAAGTTCATACTTGTCATTCCCAATAAAAAATATTCTGGCTTCATTTGAAATTTCATCTTCAATATTTTCTGTGTTGTTTCAGATGGGATGGGGGCCATCAAAAGTTTTCCATCCTGTTTCATTGCCCAACCATCAGCAGTCTATTGTATCCTATGGGCTTTGATGCAGAAACATAGAATCCCATGGAAAGCATTTTTTTCAACCAAGACCACTTTTTCATGAATCCTATGGGCTTTGCTGCAGAACCATAGGAACAACAGAGGTGGAACAACAGGATCCCATAGAAAGAAGTGGCTTTAAACTGAGTCAGTCTCCTTTAATGTATGAGGCTTTGGGCAATAGATCTCTTGGGTTTTGAATATTGTCATTTCCTTTTATTAAAAACAAAAAATAATACTTACCTTGTGATGAATGTAAGATGAATGTATTGCCAGCTCTTATATTTCCATGTGTGAGTGCAACTGTGATGGAGAGGCAAATCATGAGATGGGACTGCTGATGACATAAGAGGGGCGATTCTCTACTCTTAATGGGATGGTCACTCATGCTTTCCCCTCTCAATATGATGAGGTGGTTAAATCAATCAAGGAATAATCTGCCTACAGACATCATCCTCTCCTTCCATTTCACTCCTTTCAGGAGAGCATTTCTGACACAAATTAGACCTTTAACCCTACTAATAATCAGCTGTTCTTTTTCCTGGCAAGGGGATTCCCTCCTCCTGTGTGTGATGTCAGAGAAACTTCCAGCCAAGCCCTGTGTGGATCATAGCTGGTCAATTTCTCAGCCAATCAGTAGGAGGTGCGCGAAGTCTGAATCAATGTCAAAGTATATAAAATGTCTTGTAGTTTTATATGAAGTTATGCTTGCACATTTTGACCGATAAAGTGGTATTTTCACTCCTTTTGGGGTACTTGTTGTTCATCCTGGCTGATCTCGTTTAGCAGAAGCTCATCAGACATGGACTTTCTTATCTGCAGTTCTAGCTGAAATCACTTCGGAGGCAGAAAATGATTTCCTTGAGAGGAAAATGAAGAGTTGTGCAAGCGGTTGAAAAGTGCAGGCACTTGCTAAAACCATAAATTATGATACTCTCTCCAAGCCTATCTGGTTGACTGCAGGGTCACAAAACTCAAGACCAAAAGAACAGAGATTACTTCCCCCATTTTTAAATGCTTCCCTGACTGTTTTTCAACTATGAGCTTCATTTCATGGTTGTGGGAATCATTAAGGGAAGGCATCCTGAACATTTTGAAGGGCCTCTGTCTACAGTTCCCATTAAAAATGTGAGTACAACTTTTCAGCTGTCCCAGTTTAGCACAGACAGTTCCAACTAATTATTTCCATGTTTTCCAGCTGTATTTAAAATGTCCTAGTTTCTCTCTCCTCTTCCCGCTTTCCCTCTTTATGACCTTCATAGGAAAAAGCAAACTAAATAACTGGAGCTGTCCTTACCAAACTGAGACAGCTGGAAAGTTGCACACGCTTTTTTAATGTCAATTGTACACAGAGGCCCTTCAAAATATTCAGGATTCCTTCTCTTAATTATTCTTACAACCAAGAAATGAAGCCCTATGGTTGCAGCTACTCCTTATCCAATCTTCCTTGTCTTCGTGTCTCCCAATTTTCACCTGTGAAATGTTGTAAGGTATGATAGGAAAAAATTAGGGAGAGTTGCAAGTGGAGTACAACACTATCCTTGAGCAGACGAGGCAGAGCAATAGTAGATTAAACTCTTTAAATTTGCCTAAAGTAGATGGTTCAATGTACAAAAGTAATGTGCACTTAAATTAGAAAATGTAGGGGAGATGGGACAGGAGGGGAATGAATCTCACTCTCCCTATAGCATCAGGAAAGAGCAAATGCTAAATTTCTCCTAGCCTGAGCTTTCTTTTGTCCTCTTGAGCATACTTAGATGTCATTTGGTCAAGCGTCCTGGGTTTTATCTGGCCCTAATGACTGCTATTAAGGGCATGCCTACTCATGAAATGGTCTTTAGGGAAGCCTTTAAGTCAAGTGTTACATGAAAGTCTGTCAGGAAGAGGCCAAAAGTGCAACATTACCTGATTCGCTCCATCTAATGTTCACCTTTTGGGCTAAATTGCCTCAACACAATTAGGGTGTTCAATAGATTTGCATAATACGGCAATCTTAATGCTGAGCCAAAGCAAAAGGGGAAACTGTTTCAGGATCCCCTGGAGCTCCTATTTGAGGGATGTCATCTCTAAAAGGCCTGTGTAATCCAGGTAAATCTTGATCCATTTTGGTATCCTGGCTTTCGGTGGGATAACCAGTTCATTTTTTGGGAGTATCCCAAAAAAAATATGTTTTCAATCTGGGGGGCCAAAAGATCAGTTTTCTATTGGCCCATTATGGAGGGAGGGGCTTTCCTGGCTCATCTTTCCATCATTTTAGGCATTTAAGACGTTTCTACTCTAGAGGAGAGATGCTCAGCTGTAGGCAGGCACATGCTTTAAGGAGGATAGTTACCTGTTTAAGGAGGCTTCTACCTGTTTCTATTCTAGGAGAGGCACTTGGCTGCAGGCAGGCACATGCACTATCACTCCCGGATCTGCAGCACGCCAGCAGCCACGCACGCTTTCCAAGGCATTTTAAAGAGGCTTCCCACTTCCAGGTAAGGAAGAGCGATGACCTCCTGGAAGAGGAGTGGTAACTGGTAGTTCTTAAGGAATTGGGGTATTCTTTTTGTTTGCTTTGGGATTAATAAAGAATTAAACTGCTATGTGAAAAAAGCCAAAATAAGCTCCCACCTACTTTCGTGTTGGGTGGGTTTTTGTACTGAGAGGGCCCTTACCATTACAAGCTCCAGAAGTACCGAAGGTACCCAAAGAAATGGAGGAAATGGAAGAAATGAATTCCACACACAAGTATAATCCCTAATTTAAATGCAATCCTGGGATTTGTAGTCTGTTGAGGCATCAACATCCTTTGCGAAGAAACTACAGCTCCCATGATTCCACAACATTGAAACAAAGCAATTAAAGTGGATTCATTCTATAGCCTAGATGTATCCCAAGGTTTCCCTTTCCATTGCTGGATGCTTTGGTGTTATGATATTTTGGTTTTTAAAGGAGGAATTCTAAGCATGCAGTAACTGTAATACACACCTTTTTAGGCCATATTACAAAGAGCACACTTTTTGCCACTGAACATTACATCCAGCAACAAATCCTTTTTTCCCTTTTTTTTCTTTTCTTTCTTTCTTTTCTTTTTTTTTTCTTTCTTTCTTTTTTTTTTTTTTTTTGGTTTCAGGGTTATGAAATTGAGGTGTGCTAGGTAATTTTCAAACAGTATTTTGCCCCCCACCCACCCAACCAATCACTGATATATATTTTCTGTTCGTCGTGGGAGTTCTGTGTGCCAAGTTTGGTTTGATTCCATCATTGGTGGAGTTCAGAATGCTCTTTGATTGTAGGTGAACTATACATCCCAGTAACTACAACTCGCATATGTCAAGGTCTATTTTCCCCCAAGAGCGCGTCAAGAGTGCCCCTGGGCAAAATCAACTATACTGCAAATGCTTACTTTGCGTAATGGGTTGAGCCGCCCCTGGGTGTGCATTAAATTCAATGGCACATTAGATTCAAATAAATATGGTACTTTGCTCCAGCCCCATGGCACAACTTCTTTCCCCAAACAAGTCAGAGAAATAGTATTTGTTCAGTTTCTCACAGCATTGAATGTTTGCCAATATCTGTGTAAACTGCCTCTGGGGACCTAAGGTGAGATATAAATGTGGTTGTTGTTGTTGTTGTTGTTATGACACCCAAGTGTTTCCGTTTCAAACTGTCCTTAATGGTCAGTATAGATGAGCCCTTGATCATAATGCATAAGGGGAAAGTGCAGTTACCAAAAGAAACAGTAACTGCAATCTAGCTGGAATGCATAAGGTGTCATTTAATAATTATTTCTTTGTGGTGTTGCCATCAGTTTTATCCCCATCTTGCTTGTATTCAAATCCAAGAAATATTTAAAGCAAGCTGAGAAATTAGTTATTAAAGTTTCAATATTTGTATAGGCAATATTCATTGTTCTTACCTTCGTAACAACAAATCCATGTTGATGCTGAAATAAGATTTTAGCCATTTCTTCTGTACTATCCATCCTTTATTGTTCTCTCTGACAGCTCCTTCCCAGATGTTTCTGAACGTTGCTGTTTCTCAAAGAAAGAAGCTCTCTGGTGTCACAAGGAAGACTACTCTTATTTTATTACTGTGTTCTTGCTAAATACCTCAGTTGTGAAACATTGGGGCAATGAAGAAATGGTTAACTGTTTGATGCCAAAAAAGATGGATTGGGTTTATGAAAATATGTCACGATTGCCCCCAAAATTCTCATCTAATCTGAACTATGTGAAAAGAAAGAAGAGCAAGAAGTCAGCTCACTAATTTGGAGGGAAATGAGCAATAATGATCTTCAAGTGCAGAAGGAAGATGGAGAAAATGTGTTCAAATTAAGGAAATAGGAAAGGATATAAGTGCACCTAAAATGAAATACATATATATACTTTCTTTTAGAAAAGGAAAGATAAAAATAATGTCAAAGAATTTGAAAAAGTGAGATACATAAATGAATTTATTACAAGCTGTTTAACACATGAGTAGGCTTGCGTTTTTCACTTAGGAAATCCCTCATAGTCCAAGGATGATGGTCCTCCAAGTGTAGTGTCTTGGCGGTGGGTCTATAGGTGGCTGTGGTGCCTTATCTTTCATCCACATGTTCTCCCACAGTGAAGACATCAGTTTCCAGATAGAAGGTGGTCCTGATCAGGGTTGGCTTGATGTGCCTTCCTCTTGGCATGTTCCTCCCTTTTGCCCTCTGTGATGATTCTTACCTCGTAGGCCGAAGTAGGAGCCTGAGATGTCAGTAAGCAGGCCTCCATTTTGGGAGTGTAAGTGAGGGAGGCAGACATCTTGGGAGTGTAAGAGTAGAAGAGGGGAGGAGCTGGAGCTCTCTCTGGATTGGTTAGGGCAGATGGGAGGAGTTGAGCCCTGAGAGGGAAAAAGTGTCAACTTGACAGAATGAGAGGAGATTGATTTTTGGCTTTGAAGAAAGAGGGTGGTTTTGGGAAAAGGGAAGAGAGCCAGGTTTTTGGTGAGCTGAGATTTTTACTCTCAGATGGCATTTGTGACAGGCGATTCTGCATTATTTGGCCAGGAGGGTCAGAGTAGATGCCTGGGTGCTTGTGTGGGGATTTTTGTACACAAGTGGTTTGCTCTCTGGGGTCAGAGCAGTTTAGCTTTTAGAGAACTCTGCTTAGTGTGTAGCTAATTGCTCTGGGGACAACCTGGTTAGGTTTGTCTGGGGAACTCACTACTACTGTGTCAGGGTAGAGTGAGGGGTCTTACTCATTTTTAAGTTAAGAAACCTGTTTAACCATTAAGAATATTGTGCCTCAGTAACCATTCAAGCTTGTGTGCCTCATCAAAGAAGATAGTTGATTGTTTGTTTATATTATATCAATAAACATTTTCTCTAGTTCAACTTTTGAATAAGCCTCAGTAGTGATTCATTCTGTGAGAATAATTCCAGTATTTTTTTAACATCTTTACATCACAGTCATTTCAGGGAGCCAAGGGAGAGCTGATGGGCAGGAAAGGGTTTACCTCAGGGAACCATTCTTTAATATTCCCAAATTACTTTGGGTGGTGGCAGCAACTCTACCAGAGTATACACATTACCTCAACATACATCTAAATGCTCCGTGCTAGAATCATATTGGTGTCCAGCAGCGAGATTTATTTTGAAATATCAGACCATGATTCTTTAAAGTGGTGTACAGCTGTGAGATTAATAATCTATAATTCTTTAGAGCGGTGCCAAGGTATAATATAGGATCCTTTATAACTGGTGGCAAGATATAATACCCTGATCTTTAAACCCTCCATTCCTGCCTCTTCAAATTCTGCAACACTGTTGGTCACAGCTGACCTCCAGTTACAGCGCTCAAGAGCCAGGGCTTCCCAGTTTTCAATGTCTATGCCACAGTTTTTAAGGTTGGCTTTAAGCCCATCTTTAAATCTCTTTTCCTTTCCCCCACATTACATTTCCCATTGTTGAGCTGGGAGTAGAGTAACTACTTTGGGAGATGGTGATCGGGCATTCAGACAACGTTGCCAGTCCAGTGAAGTTGATGGCATAGGAGCATTGCTTCAATGCTGGTGGTCTTTGCTTCTTCCAGCACACTGACATTTGTCCATCTGCCTTCCCAAGAAATTTGCAGGATTTTTCGCAGGCAATGCTGATGGAATCTTCCAGGAGTTGAGTACGACATCTGTAGACAGTTCAAGTTCCACAGGTGTATAGCAGGGTTGGGAGGACAATAGCTTTGTAAACAAGCACCTTTGAATCCCTATGGATGTCCTGGTTCTCAAATAATCTGTTTCATTTGGGAAAATGCTGCACTCACTGAGCTCAGCTGGTGTTTTATTTCAGTGTCAATGTTGACTTTTTTGGAGAGGTGGTTGTCAAGGTAGAAGAAATGGTCAACATTTTATAATATTATTCCATTAAGTTGTATTTCTGGCATTGCATAGGGATTGGCTGGTGACTGCTGGAAAAGCACTTTGATTTTCTTGATGTTCAATGAGAGGCCGAGCTTCTCATATGCTTCTACATGCAAGTGTTTAGAGTAGCTTGTAGGTCTTCTTCTGAATGCACACAGATGACGTCGGACCAAGTAAAAAACACAACGAGGACCAAGTAACAAAAGCACAATAATCCCAATTAAACAGCTCCGGGGAAGCTCAGGTGCTCACATGTCTTTACTCTAATGCACAAAGCATGGGAAATAAACATGACGAACTCCAACTTTTAGCACAACACCACAAATATGATATCATAGGCATCACTGAAACCTGGTGGGATGACTCCTATCGCTGGAATGTAGACATCAAGGGATATAACCTCTTTCAGAAAAACCGAACAAAGGGGAGAGGAAGTGGCGTAGCCTTATATGTCAAAAATTGTTATGCTGCAGAAGAGATGCAAGAGAGCAATCCGGGAAACCAGCTTGAAAGCATCTGGATAAGAATCAAG